ACCGCGTCCCGGGCCCTCGAAGTTGAACGATTGGTTTCTCGGGGTGGCTCCCGCCTCCCCGGGGAGCTCACCAGGTCATGGACGGCACCTTTTACTGCCGGAAACAGACCTGCTGGTTCCTCCTCCCTCACCACCCTCGACGGTGGTGCAGCTAGGGGGTATACAAGGGTCCCCCCGGTGGAGCACTCAGTTGCGATGCAATTGTGACCTAATACCGCCTCCACCCGGCAGGGCGAACCTGCACAAGGGTAGTCATGAACTGGAAGTTCTGAAAGAGCTCCGAACTGCTACTGACCTCACGCTCTGAGCGACGAAGGTCACCGCGAGTTCTCTGGGTCGTGCGATGTCCACACTTGTGGTCCAGGAGCAACATCTCTGGCTGTGTCTGGTTGATATGAGGGACGCCGACAAAGTTCGGTTTCTTAATGCCCCTGTGTCCCAGCTTGGCCCAGCAGCTCTCGTCTGCACAGAAGCAGACTGAGGCGGGTTGTCACACTCTGCCCCGGCAAGCAGCTGCTGCCTCCACCCGTCCGCCGCCCGCAGCGCCCCAGCCTGCTCGTCGCCGAGGGCGGCCCCCTGCATCTGCCCCGGTCCAGTGCCGCATCCGCAGCAGCCACCAGCAAGCGGTGCTGTGGAGCTGGGCGTAGGCAGGCCGCCCCATCGGTCCAGGCCCCTGTCAAACCTGGCGGTGAGCGAAAGAGCAAGAGGCCCCGGGACGGGTGACCCAGAGAGGGAGGAAGCTGCTCTTTGGGGGATGGTGAAGGCACCTCTCCCTCCCCCGGAAGAGGGCCGGGTGGAGAATCTGGAAAATCTCGACGAAAGACCGGTTTTCTCTGTCCCTGGGTCCCGGGAGGGTACGGAGAGTCGTGGACGGACCAACCAGAGAGGGAGGATGCTCCTCTTTGGGGGATGGTGAAGGCACCTCTCCCGCCCCCGGAGGAGGGCCGGGTGGAGAATCTGGAAAATCTTGATGAGAGAGCGGTTTTCTCTGTCCCCGGGTCCCATGAGGGCACGGAGAGTCACGGACAGACCAGCACCGGACAACAGCGGGCGGTTCGAGAGCGTCAACAAAGGCCCTACTCACGCACCCTCTGCCAAAATGTGGAACCAGGTAAGTGTTGCACCGCACACTCAGACCCCTCTTCGGTCCACTCACAAGCCGCCCAAGTTGGGTCCATGCGTTCCAACTTGCTGCCCCACTGCGGGTACGGCGGTGGTTCCGTTGGTCCCGCTTGCACGGTATCTGGGTGCCTGGCTAGCGCTACCCAACCCATCTCGTTGGCTTATGCGGACCATCAGCCTCGGCTATGCGATTCAGTTCGCCCGGCATCCCCCCAAGTTCAGTGGCATCTGCTTCACGACAGTGAAGGCGGCCAATGCTCCTGTCTTGCGTGTGGAGATCGCAGTCCTACTGGCGAA